ATTATATTAAAATATATGATCAATTTTTAAATTTAGATATTAATATTTAATAAGGTGAATTTTTAAATTTTGAATTATGATTTTAATTTTTAAATGTAAATTAAGACTCTAATTTTTTTTAGAAATCTAAATTAATACACACTAATTTGTAATTTTTACAAATATAATTTATGTATGTTTTTTTCATAATCTATTTTTAATTGAATTGAAGAGACAAATTCAATATGATAACGTCACACAATATCATAATAAAAAGAGTTATAGTGGATAAGTATAGTTAAAAAGATAGTTGATGCATCATCTTCTTAAACTAAGCCTTAATAACACTTCTAAAGATGTAATGTTATTATTTTAATAGCGGTAAACATCTCTTTGCGATATATGAAAGAAAATAACAATAATAAAGTAAATGTTATATGAGCTTAGCCTAATCTACTTTGGCTTTATCTAGTTGCATACACTTGCACTAAAATAATGTTGTTTTGATAATGCATTTGCTTATTTTCTTAATTTTTAATGCGAAGAATGTTTAAGATATGATTCAAAAAGTTGGTCCAACCCTTTTTTTAAAAAATTATTTTGGCCTATAAATATTCCTACCATACTAGAGCATCCGATCCACGAGGATGCCAAGGACAGCACAGCAATTTGAGGTGTCCTTGAGAAAAAAAAATTTCAAATTAAAAGTATAAAATGTTTTACACGTTTATGGTTGCCAAGACTTAAAAAAAAAATGGCAATTATGATTGCCAAGACCATGACCATGTTTTTCAAATGGAAAAATAAAATGATGAGAAAAACATTATTTTGGTTTCTAATCTTTTAAAGTTATGGCAATGGAATGAATGTTGCATGCATTGTAAGAATATGAAAATTTATAAATTTTGATTAGAAAATAAATTAATTAGATGATTAATGCTAGTTGCTTTCTTTTTATTATTTCAATACATTTTTCTTTTTTCCAAAAAAAAAAAAAATCATGTAAAGATTTCAGTATATTTTCATGAGTAAGAGCGTAGGGAAAATGACAGCCTGCTTATTGTGTGAAATTGACTTATTTGTTTTTATTTGAGGTCATGTCAATTTTATTGAAGTTTAGGCTCAATGGTTACAAAACATATCTAAATCATGAAAATCAAATTTCTCATTTTTTTTTTTAAATACTAATATAATCATTATAATATGACATTTGAAAATAGACCAATTTTTTTAAAATTAAAAAAAAAATTATTCAACGCTACCTATCAAGTTTTAAGTTTGAATATTTTAAAGTATTCATAAGAATTTGAATAACATACAATTTATCTAATTTGATTTTTCTTGTCCTCTTCCTAAGCCATTAAAGTTCAGGTCTTCAATTTTGAAACAGCTTCTATGTAGATTTTGCATATTGGAATGGTTACTTCAAAATCTCCACTTTGCTAATTATAGATAACTGAAATTCTAGGCAAAAGAATAAAATTGTGTTCCCACTTAAAACCCCTCCAATCTCATTAAGTTGAGGTCCAATAACCTCACCAATTAGATAAACACCCCCCTGTAGAGGTCATAGATAAGTCAATCCTCACCCCAAACCGTCAAAGAAATAATAAAACAAATTGTTTTTGTTTTATGTACCAACTAGTATATGAAAGCTCATTAAACGACCGACTAATTCAGATTCAAACTGAATAAGACCCAATGGATAACAAAACTCTCCCTCACGAGTTTTAACGAAACTGTATTTTCAAAACATAAAATCAAGATTTCTAATTAAGCTGAAAGAACCTTTATCAACTTATCCATCCGCTCATAGGTAACAAATTGTTTTTATTTATAAAAATTATATAATTATAATGTTAGGTAATATTTTAAATTTATAGTTACAGTATATCATTATATATATAATAAATTATTTTTATTCAAAAAGTCACGTATATAATATTATATTATCATTATAATTTTACAATTTCATGTAGTATCTTTACTATAACATTTATGTTTTATTTAGTGAATTTAACATTATGAATCTGTCTCTTGTTTAATTTCTAGTATCCATCTAGCTTTGGTTCCCTACAAATTTCTTTTATCTTGAAAACAAAAATTATCAAAAAGTATTAGGAAGCATTGGACAAATTTATTACTTAAACCAACATAACATAGCATTAAATAAATGAATCCAAACCTCCTATGTAATTAAAACAAGATAGGTAATAGAACAACTATCTGGAAAAAGGAAAAAGAATATATATATATATATATATATATATATATGAATCCTTTGCATGTGAAGCAAGTAGCACATAGCTTGAGGAGAAGGTTAAATCAAATCCTTTGTGAACATATGATATGTACAAAAAACCTAAAATGCCTCTTAGTATTTTCCCCCTCTTTCACTTTATGCCAAAGATCTTTTTCCATTTTCTTTTTTTTACTACAAACAATTGATAATTAAAATGGTTAAACCAAACCTAACTACATGCAATTATGCAAATACAGAGGGCTGAAAAAACAGAGAGAATGTAATATGCTTGATTTTCAAAAATATTAAAAAAACTTTTTAATATGGTATCATCAATATTAACCACTAGATGGAGGGAAGTGACCGGAGTGTGACCATGGCGGCACCGGAAAATCAGACCCGCTAGGGCTAGGCTGAGTTTGATTTGACGGTGGTCGGAAAAAGCCCATTTGTTGCTGTTCGCTAAAAAGCAGAGGAAATGAAGCAGAGGATGAGGAGGAACCGGAAGGTACTGCAATTGAAGAAGACACTGATGGAATAGAAGAAGATAACAATGGCCGCTGAAGAGAAGCTAATTGGGAAGATTGAATCAACTGGTCTAGCAAGCTCGTTGCTTCTTGTCCTTGGAAGTCACGAGAACTCTGCAGCAGCTGCGAGTACTGCAAGTAGTCTCTCATGGAATCAGCTGAAGACCCCTGAAGAGCTCGGGGCTGGAAATATGACGGCATTGCAGGAGAACGTGCCGGTGGCAAATGGGTTATCAGAGGGCCGGAAACTGATGTTTGTGTAGCTGGAAAATTTTGCATTGGTTGAGGCAACATCCTGACATTTTCCGGGAAATTTAGTTTGGCTTTGTTTCCCCTGAATCTCAAGGCGGCATCATCATAAGCTCTCGCCGCCGCCTCGGCCGTATCAAATGTTCCCAGCCAGACTCTTGCTGCTTTATTCGGATCCCTTATTTCAGCCGCCCACTTCCCCCACGGCCTCTGCCGAACTCCCCTGTATCTTCTCCTCCGTTCACCAGTCTCTTCACCTGATGCAGTTTCTGTTGGCGGTCTTGCAGTCGCCGTTGCCGTTACCGTTGCAATTGTGGTCACCGGCGCTACAATGTTTGTAACTTCTTCTTTTACTGTAAATGGAAAAGATCAATCATTTACAAAGGAAAGAAAATTCAATCTTAAAAAAAAAAAAAAAAGGAATGAAGGTGGCGAGAGAGAAACACTGTTCACGGTTACCTCCTATTGTTAACGAAATAAAAAATTATAATAATTTCTTCAAAACTTATTTTTTAAAAATGAAAATTACATGGTAGTACTACTTGAAATTTTATTAAATAATACAGTATATTGGGAAAATGAAGTGTTCAATATATAAATTTTAATTTGAACATTAAAAAAAAAAAAGTTTTAAATATGAAAAACTGAAATGATAGAGAAAAATGAGATCATGTAAATGTATCTGATTATTTATGAGAAGAAAACAAAATTTTTATTTAGATTATGTAATCCTATGTAGTAAGAAAATTACTTAATTGAAAAGAAAAAGAAAAAAAAAAAGGAATTAGTTACCCGTACTTGCACCAGATGATAAATCTCCATGGGGAATTCTATAAACTCTAGGGACAGACTCTAGTAATTGAGATGCACCGGCGGTGGCTTCTTCACGGCCACGCTTGTGGCCAATCCACAGTCCGGTACTGGAGCCAGAACCCGAAGGGGAAGCAGTGGAAGAGTAAGAGGATGGGGAGTACACCGTAGAGGGGGAAGAAACAGAGGAAGTAGCAGGGTGTAAGAAACGAGGTGAGGCGGTCACCATGGCACCGAAACCAGCACCGTAGCCCCAATCGCCGCCAGCGCCGCTTTGTCCAGACATCGCATGCGTTAGCACCGAGACCATTTCCGACATCTCCCCGGATTGACTGAACCCCGGAAACATCCCTGCTGACGACTCTGTCTCTGTTCTACTGTGCTCTGGCGGCTGCAAATGTGTGAGCTTCGACTCTATCTCGTCTTGGTTGTCGGCGCCGCCATCTGAAGCCGGAAACCTGAGGTATTGGCTTGAGTCTCTTGGATCCGCCACCGTGAGTAAGGACATGTAAACCAATTTGAAAAAGAAATGAAGAAAATCAAACCCAGATGGTTTCTCAGAAAAATATATAGGAAACCCTTTCGAGCCTTTCACTGATGGATTGAAACGGAAAGGGTTTATATAATTCAAGATTTAGCAGCCACGGGAATAGTACAAAGCTTAGTAAAAACAGATAAATTTGGAATTTTCTTCTTCTTTCCTTTTTTTTTTGTTTAAGACAACCGACTTGGAAAGAATATGCATGTTCACACGAAAAAATTTGACTGATTTAGGGGAGTTGTATTATGAAAGTTGAGATTTGAGAGCTTAACTAGAGGATTATCAGAAGGAAGGTTTTGGAAGAATATTTAAGAGAGAGAGAAAGAGTTTATGTAGAAATTGAGCACAGACACTTGCATATGGTATATACTGGAAATATATTCTTAATAATATAATTTCATTTGGGCTCAGAGTTGATTAGCCCATGATTATGGTATAAACATAAATCCTTGATTTGTTATCCTTATGCCCAGTCGCGGAGGGAGGTGGGGTGCCAGGGGGGCGTAGCTGCCTTTTAAGTTTGAAAATTTTTATAAATTAATATATGAAAAATTATCTCGTTCTTTTTGAAATTTAAAAATTTTATAAATTAATATACAAAAAATTATATCGGCCCCTTCAGAAAAAATTCTGGCTCTGCCCCTGCTTATGCCCAAGTTCAGGATCATAGTATATATAGTTAGGGTTTGTGGTTATGGTAGCATATTAATTTGTTAAAGTTATATAATTTTATTTAAAAAAATATTAATTTTTTATTTAATTATTAAGAATAATTAATAGTTAATTAAATAATTAATATTTGTTATTTTATAAATTAAAATTAGTTTATAGATTGATAGTTTTAGATATCATAATTAATTATTTAAAAAAAATTAAACATAATAATTAAATTAAATAAAATTTATAAAATCTTAACAAAATATTACGTTACCATAACCACATCTGATATGGTTAGGTGGGTTGGACATTTTCTTTTATGGTAATGGATAACATTTTTACTTTTCAATTTAATTTTATCTCTTTTAAGTACTACTATTATCCTTACTTTGCATAACTTTTTAAGATTAGATCAATTAATAAATAACTATTATTTTAAGGGCAATGTTCAAGATTGTGTCAGCACTCAAAAAAATTACATTGAATCAGACCAAATTCCTTACTTTAGTGCTAAAAGATTTTGAATATTGTCATCGAAGACATGATCAATTTTGCTGTTCAAAAGGGAATTTCAAAAGTTTGAGTTGGTCCATGAAGGATAAATAAAAGAATATTATTCCTACAAAAAGAAAATAGCAAAAAAAAAATTATAAAATTTTGGCTTGCTTGATTGACTATGCCATGGATATGTTGTGAATCAAAGTTTCGGTCGTTTGCAACAATCTAAAGTCTTTGCACTTGCTATTCTATTTTTTCTTTTTTATTTTTACAATTTTCATGAAGAAAAGAAAATCATTAATTTAGAACTTATATATTTTATTAAAAAAATTTCTAACTTTTGCATACTGTACGGTCAGAACACGTTTCTCTTCTGACATGAACAGATGCTATGATGCACAGAAAAAATGAACCATTCAATTTAATGAGGCTTATGTGTTATGATATAGTTGGGTTAGCTGTACCAATTTGATTTCGAAGTTGCATAAAGATAGGTACCATATTATCAATTAAATATTTAGATCTATTGAATTTATAGTTCAACTATCATTGCTAAGAAACGAAAAAAAAAACAGTTTAACAACGTCGAGTCCCATTTACAGTTAGCTTGACACAATAATTTTATCAGGGCTTTTATATATGAGAAATATTTCTTTGCAGTTTGGATTGATTAATAAAAGTCAGTTAGAATAATGAGTCCTTAGATGTAAATGGGAGATGGACATTAGAATTCTTGGAATGTGAATGCAGGGATATAATGGTGGAACTAATAATTAGATTGATGAATTTTTTAGAAGTTAAATGTTTTGATTTTAAATTGTACAACATGAGATAAATAAGTTAATTAGAAAATAAATTTTTTATAAATAATTTTTATTTTATTTTATTTAAGATTGTACAATGTTAGAGGTAAATTAATTGTTTGTTATTCTTTAACTCTTTTCATAGGTATACTTTGTATTATTCATTTTATTTTAAAATAATAATTATTTTTTTTATTTTTTTAAATTAAAAATTTAAGAACAATTTATATATTTATTTATATTATCTATAAAAAGATTAAAAAATAAAATAAAATTTTTTATAATAAAATAATTAATCAAAATAAATATAAAATGATAGGGTTAAAATGAAAAAAACAATTAATTTAAAATAAATTTAAAATTAAATAATAACAATTATTTTAACATAAATGAATTATATGACTTGAATTTAAGATATTTTAAGATTTTATTATATTTTTTAGGATAAAATTAATTAAGAACGGGCTGCGTTTAGCTGAAATAATTTGTTCGTTAAACCTTTAGGGAAGTTTTTTTTTTTTTTTTTGACTTAAGGAAATTGTCGGGAATAAAAAAATAGTATCAGAGAATAAATCTCAAGATTTATGCGTTCAAGCACGTTTTCACAATAAAAATTATCACTAAATCATATAACATCAGATAAATTTTAAGACATTCAGACACATTTTTACAATAAAAATTGTCACTAGATCATATAATACCAGACAAACTTTAAGGGAAGGTTTTCGGTGCGAATTGGCTGTATTTACGGACCAAGTGGTCAAAGGTTGGATTTGGTGTGGAACCCACAGGGGGGAACATTTGGCATGAAAACGATGACGACGAGGAGAGGGATTTGTTTGATCTTGGGTTGGGTCTTTACTACTTCTTATGGTCAACTCTTTACATTTCTACGTGGGAATATTATTAGGTGTAAAGTAAGGGACTCCTGGTGCCCTATGATAGGGCCCTTTATGGATGGTCCCCTTACCTATTAGGACAAAATCTTATCTTTAATTAAGCCCGTGAACTTGAGCCATTTTTTCATAAAAGTCTATTGAACCACAATTTTTTTTTTGCTTGGTACATGGATGATAGATAAAGAGTTATATAATAAAAGGTATAATTTTTATTTTATAAATGTTTTTTATTTATTATAAAATTTAAAATTAAAACTTTTAATTTAAACGTCAAACTTTTTGTAATTGAAACATTTTTTGAAAAATTACTTTGAACCACTTTTGAAGGACTAATCCACTTAATTTCTTGGACTATTCTTTTGGATGAGGTTGGTTTCAAGAGCTTTAAGATAGAGTTTGCCCCCTAGTTAGTAGGGTAGGTATTGGTTCGATTTTGGTTATAATCAAAACTAAATTATATCGTATATAATTAAAGTTTTGGATTTTAAATTTTATTAATTATTAATCACATTGAAAAAGATGGATTTTATTGGTTTTGATTATATTTTTTAGAATAATCATTCAAATCAGTTTCGATTTTAATCAAAAAATTATTTTTTTATTTTTGTGATTTTTTTGAATTTTTGAATTATTATTATTGATTTCAATCATTAAAAAAATTAAAAATTACCTAAATAAACAAATAATTTGGTGAAAAATAATTAGAAAAATAAAAAAATCTAAAAATCATTAAAAAAAAGTTTATATAAAAGATTTTTTTTGCCTAAAGTTTTCAATTATACTCATCTTAGTTATCAATTTTTTAATTTTTAAACTTAATAATTAAAATTCAAACCATTAAAATTAATTCAGTTCAATTTTTACTCAAACAATTTCAAAACTTAGTTAATTAAACCCTATTTGTCAATTCCGTAGCTTTTAGGTTTTTTTTATTATTATTATTACAATTTTTTTTTGCCCACCCCTACTAGCTAGGTAGCCTTGAATTTTTCCCAAGAAAGCGTCTCAAGTTAAACTGAGTCTTTTCTTTTACAGGATCAAAATCGGCTCACCTTCTTCTTTTAACTGTACATGAATATGTTGAGTTCAAACGTGTCAGAAAGCACAGGATATTATTATCACAGTATTGGAAACAGGGTCTTTCCTAGCAAACTGCAAACCCATACATATGTATTTTTTTGATTTTTTGTCCGGTATCCGGAGTTTCGTCCTGACTAATTCGGACCCGACCTGCGTCACGCATTTAAAAATGGTGAGTGAGTCTCTCAGCGGGGTTGCTGCGTACACAAGGTCCCAAACTTGAGATCTTACTTAAACTGAAACAAACTACTTATCACTTGATCCAATCTTTCGTTGGTACCATACATATATATATATATATATACTTTCCCTACTTACTCCATTAATTAAGGAGAAGTTGGTTTGTGATTCGCATGTTTAGATTAAAACTTTAAAAAATTTCAAAACATGTTAAACGACACTACTTCCTGATTAGAGGGGAATAAAGATTGTTACGATAATCTCAAGAGCATTATTTATGAAGCCAATTCAAAGACGACAAGGGCAAAAGCTGGCATTTTGTGGTGGACCAAAACTTAGTACTTATCCAATCCCAATTCACATGGGAGATATATATATTAAGGTTAAATGCTTAGAATTTGATCTATTTCATAAACCACATTACCATGTATGGCCTGAAAAACAATGGGAAATATTTTATCAATTAATTTCAATATTTTTCAATTAAAAAGGGTATTAGATTAAGG